GTGACCCATTGCACCATTACCAGGGCAAGCACTGCACCGGACACTACTTGACTGACTGTCCAAACTGTCTGAAAACCGTCCGAAAATGCTCTCAGTAGCACCATAGCCACCGAGGTCACCTATATTTGGTGATTGCTTGCCTGGGGGATGGCTGTGGGAGGGTGGCACTTGAGGGAGAGTGTGCTCTAAGCCCTAACCCCAAAAATGTTAGTCACTGGGGGTCTGCATGAGGAGTACTACCCAAAAGTAGCATTTAGCCACCCATTGCTCAAAATCTTCTGGTGCCTTATATAAACATGGAGCCTACTGGTAGATGACCTTGTTTCCAGAAGGGCACATTGTGGAGCATAGTATTAGTGTGGGAAAATGAGAAAACCATTTCCAGAGCCGGTGGTGGAAAATATCCCTTTGACTCAATAGACAGCCAGTACATTGTACATACTACAGGTACAAGTTCCCCATCAGGACCATGTGCTACAACAGTCACAAGACCAGCAGAAATAGACCCCAGAATCATAATGAGAGCAAAATTTGAATTCTGAAGGTGTACCACATGCCCATTCCCATATTTGGTAACCCATTACATAATGTAGTGATGCCATAGTGAGCTTGTGGTGCTCCGGGGATCACCTGATTTTTCCTTGATTTTTCAGCATTTCTTCCCATTTTATATGAGCTGCAAATTACTGCCCTGTGGGTACCTGTGGACGCTCCATGCTATTTATAGCTCTAATAATGTGGAACCTAGGCTCAGCAACATATTCCTATTTTTCCGCCATTTTTCGGATTTTTCCGGGCCCTGCAGCTGCAGAATTAGAGGATCTGCTATTAATAGCCCCCTGGACCTTTCCCCGGGGATACAGATCCATCCCCGATCCCAGTCATCAAGCCGGGATGCCGGGGCAGCCAGGTTCAAACCCAGCTGGCACCTCTCGGGCCTGCAGAGCATAATGCATTACACCCTCATCACAATGCCTGGGTAATGTAATACATTTTGTCATTGCAATA